TGGGTGGAAGCAGGATTGGCAAGCAGAGTGCTTTTCCTGTGACAACTGCTTTGTCCTTCCCTCTGCGTGAAGCAACTAACCATGTAAGAAGCACAGTTGACACTTACAGGATGTAACCGGCTCAGAGCACAGCTGTTGAAGTACCTGCATTATACCAGACCTCACTCTGTTGTTCCTCTCACCCTTTTCTTTTTTTAAGGGAAGGATGAAGGTGGCAAAATGAGTGCAGCTTTATATGTTTATAGACAGAAACTTCTACCGAGGAGTCTACGTGTTTAACAGTGATCAGAACAACTTCTGGCATTTCCAGACGGAGCACACCCTTTCCTCAGTATTCTGAGGAGTTGCTCTCTGCTTTGCTCCTGTTTGTTACACTTATTAATTGCATTTGATACTTGGTCTGCATCAGTGGTCATTACTCATTAACTTCTCTGCCCAAACCAGTGTTTCAACTTAAGGTTTTACTGACAGTGAAGGGCTCCACCGCATCTGTGTTAAGTGACTGTGAGGAAAGACCAGTTGAGTTGCACAGGACCCAAAGCTGTTCCGTAACAGGGTGAGCAGTAAGGGGGAAAACAGGGAAAAATCTGGGAGGAATGAAAGTTTGGAAAGCACTTTTGGAAAACACAGAGGAAGCTAGCATTAGAAATACTTATTCTAAATTTTGTTAATTATACCTGGAAAAAAAAATCCTTTGACTCTGGTAACTCCTCAAAGACTCTTTTGGTCATATGGCCTCTCCCAACATGCTGTGACATCAAGGATATACAAATTTTGATTGCATTTTTGAGGAAAATGTGCCACCTTAGAGGTTCTCACTGATCTTTTCCTACCATTACGAAATCCTGAATGTTTATCAAACTAATCTTATTATGGGAAGAAGAGAAGCTCTTGGTGAGTGAATAAAATACAAGACAGTACATCTTAATACTGTTTGTCAGGTGAAAGCACCTTAACGACAAAACCCGAGTGGGAGGAGAGGTGGCTCGGCCTGTCCAGATTGGCCAATGACAATGAGGAAATAGCAGAAAGGCAACAGGTATGGTGGTCAGGCAGTATGAATGGAGGATACCTTTCTTCAGAAGGATGGAGGCACTGAGTCATACAGAATGGACACAGATAAGCTACTTCGCCATTACGAATAGAGTTGCCCTCATGACTGGGAGGAATATTAGGTGGAGATGTGGTTTGGAAGGCTAGGGAATTCATTAAATTGTAAGAGTGCCAGGAAGGCAATCTGACACCAAAATGATCTTATCACCGATTTTGTATCCAATCACTGTTTTATCTGCATGATTAGAGAAAGACCCACACAGGGTTCCAGACATTGACCCTGACATAGGGAAGGAGAGAATGAATACCCAGGGGCAGGTAGTGTGATAGACCAAGCTCTTAGCCAAGAGAGCAAAGTGGATGTCTAATTGTAATCCTTAAATTGCTCTTCACAGTGACGTGTTTTGACTTGTGACTTTGGGAAGCGCCTCGAATGTTTTCAGGGCTTTGCTACATGTGTCAAATGGGGCAAAAGCTTAAGATATCACTGGGGTGTAGTCATGTCGTCTTGAGATTAGAGCAGTGCCCAGAAGGCCTGAAGACATTTCCCTGGCTTAATCAAGGTATAGGAATTCAGCTTCTTTTACTTCGCAGTTAGGCCAAATGGTCACAGATAGAGAGACAAAGCAACAAACTCCCAGAAGAGATAGATAATCTTGTGGTTAGGAGAGAAGAGGTCTTGTAGCAGGCTGCTTGCATGTGAATTCCAGCATTCTTGCTTCCTTGCTATGGATGCTTGTGCAAGATCCTTAAATTCTCCTACCTTGATTTCCTCATATACTAAAGGGGGATTACGGACTCTACTTCACGGTTGTTGTATTCAATGAGGTAATGCCCACACAGTGGTTAAAACAGTATCGGGTACACAGCACGTGCTCAATGAATGTTAAGTGTTGTTACCACATTTAAATATCTTTATTGGATGAAAGGCAGTGCTACATTGCATTTTGCTATTCATACTTCCTTTGAGGCAAGTAAGCCTACCCTTATGGTACAGAATGTCCCCCACAGAGTCCTAGATTGATCTAACCCTGGGGCCTTGCAGGCTCCCAGGGAATGAACTAAGTACTTCTAGTGGCAGAAGGGCGAGAGGCTCTCTCTACAGTGCTTGTGGCTCAATAGGCTTTTCTAGCCTGTGAGCTTGAAGACACGATCCATGGAATTATCTCTTGAGCACCACCACAGGTGGTGGGGAAAAAAAAAATCCAAGTTTTTTCACATTTATATTTTTACGTAAAAACTTTTTTTAAATGTTTATTTAGTTTTGAGAGACAGAGAGACAGACAGACAGACAGAGGGCAAGTGGGGGAGGGGTAGAGAGAGAGAGAGAGCAGAATCCAAAGCAGGCTCCAGGCTCTGAGCTGTCAGCACGAACCATGAGATCATGACCTGAGCTGAGGTCAACATAAGAAGCTTAACCGACTGAGCTACCCAGAGGCCCCTAAATTTCTGTTTTTAATAAAATATTAAATACTTCTTATTAATCCTCCGATCCTCTGTGTATTTTTTCCTTATAATTTCATTTTAAAATAGTGCATATATGGCCTGGACAATTTGACTTTAGGGGATCGGCATCCCAGAATCTAAAAGGTGGTGCTCCCTTAGGCCAAATATCTCTGCTAAGTATTGCCCATGCTGTCACCTTCTACTGTATCCTCAGAACTGAAATGTTACTATCTATACAGAGATGTTGTATTAGGAAAAACAACTCTGAGAAAGTTACCTGAGAAGGTTACCCTGCAAAATGTATCACCTCAGTTCTCCAATAACTTCAGGGATGCCATTTTGTCCTTAGGCAACCCACAAAATGAGATGCTAGGCTGTTTTTGAGAACTTCTAGGGAAGGAGATTTATAGGTTTCCACTGGTGGCAGGACCACAGCAGCTTAAGGGCCCTTCTGACAATGATTCTCAGAGGACAGAGAAGATAAAAATGGAGAGAATCAGACTCTGGTGTGATCGAGCACCCCGAACCGGACTCCTGAAATATAACCGGAACTGGCAGATGGGGCAGAAGGGGGAGAGATGGGAAACACCTAAAATTACTGCACTCACTGAAACCAACCAGAGAACCTGACAGAGTCTCACTACATTTGGACACGAATAATTTAGACTTGCTCTCAATACCAGCCAGACTTCTCAAACTTCGTAACTTCATTTGAGCTACTGAAGAATCACTGATGATATCCCCCCTCCCCCCTAAAATTTTAAAAGTAAAGTTGTCTGGTTAAGCGGCTCGAAAACTCCTGCCAAATATCACAGCTACTGTTGAGTAATACGGTATCAGGTGGTATTAAAGCCTCCTGCCCTGAATGAAATGTAGTTTTGGATTGCACGTTGTGGCAAGGAAGATTAGCAGCCTACTGACATCCGTTCTTTCCTTAGGCATGTAGCTCAACCACATGCTCAGACTCTCTTGGCGTGAGGTGAGCCGGGAGATCAAATCCTGTACTGGGCCATGAACAGAAGTGAGGTGTGCCATTACGGGGCGGGGGGTTGTAGAAAAGCAGCTTTGCCTTCTTGGTGTTCTCTTTGTCTCTGTTGCAGAGACAGGAGTCACCCCCCACTTCAGCCCCCCACTGCCATCCTAATTGTGGACACTCCATGCCAAAGGGCTTCTGCCAGCCTCACTCTCCAAGTGACTGCATATAGAAGAAGCTCCTGGCAACAACGATCTTGCCCTGACCTGATATATAAGTGAGGAATAAGATCATACTATGTTTAAGCCATTACACGTGTGGGTCTATTTATTATAGCAGTTTAGCACTGATAGGTGGCAGAACAGGTCACTCCAAATGTGGAACTTTGGCATAAAGATTACTTTGACCTAAGGGCACTTGAAAAAACAGCAGGTACAACAAGGGTACTCTGACCTCTCGTTTTCCTCCTGAAAGCAGGTGATAAAGTCCCCATGTAAAATATGTCCTTCCTAGGCATAAGCAAGTAGGAAAGAAATACCAGAGATGAGGAGTTGAGGCCAACAGAAATCTGTACGGACCTTGTTAAAATAAGTCTTATCTTCCTTTAGGCGCTCCCCCCACCCCCACCATATGTTTTAGTCACTTTCCCACAGTTAGTCACTTTGTTCAACCTACAACCTTGTTTGTAAATGCTTAGGCCTAGCCGTTCTTGGGTCTTGGGTTTCCTATGAAGGTTCTCATGGACATATAAAAATCTACAAGCTTTTTTTCCTGTCAATCTGACTTATGTCAATTTAATTCTCAGGCCCAGCCAGAGACCCTGAGAAAGTACAGGTAAAGTCTGGCTTCCCCTACAACAGATCCCAATGACTATATATGCCATGTTTCTAAGTTCTGTACTCTTTCTAAGTCACATGGGAGTAGAGATACCTTAATGGTGTTTTAGGACTTTTTACCTTGTCAAAGACGCTTTCACGTGCATTATTGCTTAGAGCCACAGTAAAGGTACTTAAAAAGTCACAGTTTAAAATAATAGAGAGAAGGTGCCTCAGTGGCTCAGTCATTAAGCATCTGACTTTGGCTCAGGTTGTGAGCTCACAGTTTGTGAGTCTGAGTCCCACTTTGGGTGAGCAGAGCCCCTCTTCCGGTAAAACTCACCCTTGGGTTGGTTGAGTCCCACTTCTCTCTCTCTTCCCTTCTCGTGGGATTTTCTTTCCCTGTGTGTGTGTGTGTGTGTCCCTCACTCATTTGCACCCTCTAAATAAATAAATAAATAAATAATAGAAATAAATGCTGCACATACTGCAAATTTCTGATATTATGCAATAGAAAGTTCCATAGAGCCAGTAACAACAAAACAGAATAGGTAAACACATTTTCAATTCCAAACCTGAACTGATAATAAATATACTATGAAGATTTACTTTTGTGGCCCAAATTACCAGTAGGAAATTATCATTAATGAAGATTTACTTTTCGGTCCATAGGACTAATAGGAAATTATTATTAATGTAGTAACTGTCCTTACCTGCTAAAGATGACATGTTGATAATGATGCCGCCTTCACCTCCATTTTGCTTACTCATGTAATCCAAGCCAAGATAGGTTCCGCTGATAACAGAAACCTAATCCAGATGCATAAATGGGAGAAAACATTCATTGTACTTTATCATATAGTCACAGACCAAAGTTTTTATTGCTATTGCAGATTCCCAGGGAGATTTCTGCAAATACTATTCCCTGAAAGCTTTTCAAGTGACTGCTTGCCTTTTTTAAAAGCCAGTCATTGACTGCATTCTCTTTTGTTTGCCTCCTCTCACATCTCTGTAAATCTTCACTTAGTTGCCCAGCCTGAGATTTTTTGAATAATGTGTATACCCATAGTGTTTTGTCACTTGACCTCAATTCTCAGCACCGTCCATATATAGTAAATAGTATTCTTTTGTATATACAGTATCGTGTATATTACATTCTTTTTCTTTTCTAAACATTGGATTAAAAATTTATTTACCCTTCTCAGCATCTGGTTCTCGGATCCAGGTATTTTATATTCAGCTGCTGTGTTTAATTCTTTTGGGTTTTGGAAAATATAAGAGTGGAAACACTTGATTTCCTACACAGTTTTCTTTCTCTTTTTTTTCTTCTCATACAAAGTCTATTTCGCATTTGTATCTACTTCTTCCCCATGTAATGCAGAGGAAGGTGATCTCCCCAGGTTTCGTGGAGGTGCTGATTCATTCAGTCACAGAAATCCCATTCTCCATGGCAGGACCAGCTTAGTAGCCTGTATGTGACCCACTTTAAGATGAAACCAACATGAAGGAAGGCAGACTGGAGAGATGAAGAGAAACTGGGTTCTGATATCACTGCCGCGGTATCAAGCAGTCCTGAAGTCTGTGTTGTGTGAGATCACATATCTCTTTTACCCACTTTCAGTGCCCCGGCTTTTCCATTAGTTGGACATAAGAGTCTTCTGTGATGTCTGTCACTTGAGTTCGTTCCTCACTCTCCCACTGTCTTTCTGAGAGTTTACTTCAACTTGTTACCCACCTCCATGCATAGGCAACTCTTCCACTGTAAGCGTCTGACATTTAAGAATTCACCTCTACCCAGGTGTTATGCTAAGTGAAATAAGTCAGGCAGAGAAGAACAGATACCATATGTTTTCATTCATATGTGGAACAGGAGAAACTTAACAGAGGACCATAGGGAAGGGGAAGGGGAAAAATAGTTCAGAAGAGGGAGGGAGACAAACCACAAGACACTCTTACATACTGAGAACAAACTGAGGGTTGATGTGGGTGGGGGGGAGGGGAAATTGGGTGATAGGCATGGAGGAGGGCACTTGTTCGGATGAGCACTGGGTTCTATATGGAAACCAACATGACAATAAACCATATTTAAAAAAAAAGAATTCACCTCTCCCCGAAGCAACCTGTGACACAGAACTTATTTTTGAAACCTTATTTTCCCTTTTAGATTTCAGAACCACTCTCCTTTCTGGCTCAGACTTTTAGAAGGTGAACATTTTCTTTTGACATCGTTATTCCTTTTTTCATTCTTTACCAGATTGTAAAGATCATGACAAACTAGGTAACGAGCCTGGAACCGAGGGCATCTATTGGTGTTTGCCTTTTGTTTTTAAAAGTCCTTTTAGAGTTTTCTTGACAAGCTTTCAGTGCTGCCTCTCTACCTAACAGTAGTTCTGGAACAAAAGAGCAAATTGAAGATTCTATTCACTTAAGCCATGTGTCAGTTTCATATTAAGTAGGCTTAGGGAGAATGAGTAAAAATCTCCCCATGATTCCCTTTAAAAAGAAAAAAAAAACCCAAAAACACTGATGGTTTATATAAGAAGTAAAAAAATTATATGGCTGAAATTACTGAAGTCAGTTAGATTCTGGTAGTTTCTGCCTAAGTCTCTAGCATGTCTGGACAGAATTTCTGTTTATGCATATTGGCGCTATGCTTTTATTCTCAGGTATTTACAGCTTTGCTGACACCCTGCTTTTGTGTTTTCAACATCGACAAGGTGCAGCCAGTTAGACAGTTTGGGAATATTTAAGCTTTAATTTTTTTAAGAAGGAAGATTTATTCCCAGGTCTTTGGTGGAGGAGGACAGAGGATTATTTTCTCATTCATTATCAGGTCAAGTACCAAGTAACTCTTCAAATGAAAATGTTCTCAGAGTAAATCTACAAAACAGGGTCTAATATGCTCTGGCTAGGCCAGAGATGATATTTCACCTCTTTTCCTATAACAGTCTCAGCCTTATGCAGACAATATATTAAATGAAATGTTAGGAAACCACAGAATAAAATGTTTTTTTGTTAATATTCTAAATATATTTCTTGTCCGTTGGCAATGTTTATGTATCACATAGATCTCGTCATTATAATAGCAAGCATCTAGGGGAGAAAAAGAAAATGAAAATTACATGCATGCTCTATCTACAAACACAAGATAGCTGGAATTTATAGTATTATTTTATTTTGGTCCATTATATGAAGGTACTCTCAATCTTTTTAAAAATGTTTTAATTTTTTAATGTTTTATTTATTTTTGAGAGAGAGAGAGGCAGCATGAGCAGGGGAGGGTCAGAGAGAGAGGGAGACACAGAATCCAAAACAGTCTCCAGGCTCTGAACTAGCTGTCAGCACAGAGGCCGACACGGGGCTCGAACCCACAAACTGTGAAGTGATGACCTGAGCTGAAGTCAGACGCATAACTGACTAAGCCACCCAGGCGGCCCTAAAATATGTTTTTAACATTTATTCATTTCTGAGAGACAGAGCACAAGCAGGATAGGAGGCAGAGAGAGAGGGAGACATAGAATCCAAAGCAGGCTCCAGGCACTGAGTTGTCAGCACAGAGCCTGTGACGGGGCTCGAACCCACAAAATGTGAGATCATGACTTGGGCCAAGTCGGACACATAACCAACTGAGCGCATCCAGGTGCCCTAAGGTAACTCTCAATTTTTATACTTGACCTTCAAAATATTTTGTATTTGTCTCTAAAAGAGAAAGAAAGAAAGAACAAAAGAAAGAATGAAAGAAAGAACGAAAGAAAGAAAGAAAGAAAGAAAGAAAGAAAGAAAGAAAGAAAGAAAGAAAGAATATCCGATGTCAAATTTCACATAGTTTGAATAAAAATTCAATTACTGACCAAATTAACACATGCTTATTCAATAGTTTTGGTTACGAACGATTTTTATATGTAAAACCAAAATTATAATCGCACTGTATTCCAAATCTTAAATTAACTTTCTCCACAGATTAAAGCATTCTATAAGTAAAACCACTTGTAAGTTCCCCTGGAACAAAGATAAATGGATAAATGGTAGTAGCTTATTTGTTTAATTCTTCTTATCAGATATCATGTCTTCTTAGTTTATAGATACATAATGTAATATATATAATATACGCCATCTATTATACACCTATTTCTTTGACATATATATAATACATGTGGGCCTGTGTATTTGCCACTGAAATTTCCTAATCTATCATTTCCCATATCTTCCTCCGATCTAGGGTCCTTTGTGCTACATTCTACTTATAATTTTAAAAATTCTGTCATCTAAAACATGAATCATTGCCTTTCAAGTTTCTTGTCTTTCACCAGCCCAATTCTCAAGAAATACTAACACAGTTGACCATTTTTTTCCTGAAATCTTTTTTCATCATTCGTTTCTCTGTGCCCAGTCTTTTCCCATTTTTGTTCATTTAGGCAGTAAATATTGTATTTCCCCTTGTAGAACTACTTAAAATTTAGCAAATTTTGTCTAACTATTAGAGCCTAATGAGATATTTAGGTATTATTGAGTAGCAATAACAGAAAGAAGTTACTAATTTAATTTGTAATCAACATCCTTGGGAGCTAAGACAAGGGAGTACATTTGACACCATTTATATCCACCTCCTCAATTTTTCTTTAGAGGTAGAGTAGCACAGGGAAATCTACCTCATATAGAAACCAGATTGTGCCAATGAAGAGAATATAAGCTTTTACAATCTGGAGGAGAGATATGATTTATTGAATGAATATTATATTGAAGCACTGTGCTGGATACTTCATGTAAGTTCTGGTTTATTTAAGTTTAACCATTCTTAGTGGCAAAGAGATTATCCCCATCCTCTTATAACCAGGAAACTCAAGACCACAGAAATGAAATAAAAATTCATGAATTCGAAATTCAGGGCTGGATTCTAGTTTTGGCTGATTCTGAACATATACCCTTTCCAGTGCAAATCTTTAGTCAACACTTGTACTTCTGAACAAAATAATGAACAGCAATAAGCTATTTAGTTTGTTAATTTTTGTCTAAGTACATTAAGGGATTCAATATATGTTAGTTGTATGTCCAAATTAGATTATAAATCCCACCTGAATGGGAAGGAATTAGTTAGGCATATTAAAGGATAAAAAAGTAAAAGAAATACAGAATGGCCTTATCAATTTTCAAAGTTAAGTCTACCTCCATTCAATTCCCAGAGTAACCTTTGATAGTTATTCAAAGATTCCTTCCTTCCTGAACATTCTTAGTGAGCTCTGAGCAGCTAGAAATAAAGTGGAAGGACAGATGATACAGTCTGGCAACACCGATATATTAGGAAATAATCCAAATATTGTATTAAAACATAAAAGTGAATACTCATGTATGCCAAATATCATAGGATGGCATTTATTTATCCAATAAGTATTCATTGAACATCTACCCTGTTCACAAAACAAAAATTTTGTGGCTTGAAAGAGTTCAGAGTATACTGGCATATACTGCATGGGTATAAAAATAATTCTATTTAAAATTTGTAAGTCCTATAAGAATGGTATAATAATGTTGTACAAGATTCCAGAAGAGGAAGGGTATGTGGTAAGGTCCTTTAACTAAGTGGCTCCTCTCTGACAGGGACAGGAGCACAGAAAAACTATGCAAAAGCATGTACATGGTCTTGTAAAAGGAGGCAAATTATATTCAGAGTCTAAAAAATATATATGTTATTTTTTTTTATATTTGCAAATATTTGCATTATACTGACAGAGATAATCAAGTTGGAAGGATAATGACTGGTCAGAGTCTAATCTACTCTTGAAATGGGTGTTGAAGGTAGGAGGGGAAATAACTTGTTTTCAAGCTATATATAGGTAACAAAGGTTATATCTTGCTCTCTAGATGTAAAATTAAGCAAATATCATTAGTTCCTGGAGTTAAGCTAAGGAGTGGCCTATGTCAGCAGAGGCCAAAGAGAAGTAAAAGCCAGATAGTTTCAATGAGGAAGGATCCGGGAGAGTGAGTTGTAGTCAAAGGGACCAAATAAAAATCTCCTGGTTTTCCAGAAATTCCTATTTGCAGTTAATGTGAGAGCATGCGGCAAGTTGTGTATTCACCCAGGCTACATTAAAGCAAACACACCATCCCAGACAGATGAAGATACATAATTCAAATCCTATTACTTTAAGATAATCTCTTCACTATTTTCATGTTCTTTATATTGACTCTAATCACTGCACACTGCTTTCTGACAGCTGGTTTCTCAGAGAAGAGACAGCAGGTGTCCATTATGAATGCAACAAATATGGAGCTTTATACCCTAGTGAACTTTAGCTATAAAATGTCTGTAGATATCACAGATGAAACTATTAAAAATATCAGTAGTGATGCTTCAGGGAGAAAATGGCTGTGGGATTTGTGCTTTTTCACTAGCAGAACTAAGTTCAAAGAAATTCTTGCTACTTCATGTGGTTTTGGAAAGTGGCATTAAGTTTATAAAAAATATATTCTTAAATATTCCTGCAGTTCTCAACTGGTTGTACATTCATTCTTTTTTAAATCTGGCAAAGTATGTAATGACTTCATAATAGGTCAGGGGCAACGACCAAAGATTAATAAAATACTCTTAACAGCAGAAAAAAAAATTAGAGGTATCCAGTGGAATTTAAGAAAGGAATGGAAAAATCAAAAACAAAAAGAAAACTTGGTAACTTTAAAATATGAACTAAAGTGTAAGAAGTAAGTTCCAAAAGAAGGGTAAAAAAATAAAAGTGGCTTAAATTCACAAATATAAAATGCAGATATGCTCAGATATGGCTTAAAAAAATAAGAGCTCACACTATAGTGTCAGCAAGAGATAAATATAAAAGTTGACAGGTCAGGTCTCTAAACATATACATATATCCCAGAAAGATTTGGGGGAAACTTGACAAATAAGTTTTAAAGTTCTTTTGAAATCTAATGATATCTAGGAACACCTGAGACAAATTTTAAAAAGAATTAGGAGAGTGTTTTTACGTTAGTTTTCTTTTGAGAGAGAAAGAGGGCGCACGTGCGCACGGGAGGGGCACAGAGAGAGAATCTTAAGTAGGCTCCACACCCAGCGTGAGGTCGCAGGGCTTGATCTCGGGACCATGAGATGATGACCCACGCTGAAATCAAGAGTCTGATGCTCAACCGACTGAGCCACCTGGGCACCCCTGTTTATGATCAGTTAAAGGATTCAGACATCTGTCAAGTTTGGTGAGCAACTTGTATCCTTATCAAAGTGGTGCTTACACGTTCCTCTCTTTTGTGAGGTAGTATAATTCTCAGTACACCCACCAAGTTATTACAGTTAAGCAATCACTTGTGGGAATGTAGATTCAAGTCAAATATTTATTGACTAAGCACTATCTTCAAGATATTTTGTTGATTACAGCAAAAGAAAGAAGGAAAGAAAGAGAGAAAGCAAAAACATAACTCAGTTCCTGTATTTAAGGAGTTTATCATGTACCAGGAGGCTATCATGAAGCAGGGGGCCACTCCTTGTATGTTTATACACATATAGTGGCCCCTCTGTACTTTACACATACCTGCTTTGCAAGACTAGAATGACCTTATCAAGGACAGGATGACCCCATGCACAGCCTAGCCTCGACAACTTGTTTGGCTAAGGTTTAAGTTTTACTAAACCCCAATATCTTATGTCAAGTGTGTTTATAATATGAGATAACCAACAAACTTGTAATACAGTGGATAAAGCACTGTAAGTTTCCTTATTCTACATTTTCGTAATTTAATTAAGAGCTAAATGATCATCAAGCATTGTAGAAATTACACACACACACACCAACTTTCAAGATAAAAATCTTAATAATTACGAAGTCCAACAGTCACATTAGCCTTATTTTCTGTTAAATCTCTGGAATTGAATTAAGATTAGTTTTTAGTGGGGCCTGGGTGGCTCAGTCAGTTGGGCTTCCAACTTCGGCTCAGGTCATGATCATTCAGTTCGTGGGTTTGAGCCCCGTGTCAGGCTCTGTGTTGACAGCTCAGGGCCTGGAGACTGCTTCAGATTCTATGTCTCCCTCTCTCTTTGCCCCTCACCCACTTGCACTTTGTCTGTCTGTCCCTCTTTCTCTCTCTCAAAAATAAACATAAAACAAATTTTTTAAAAAAGCTTTAGTTTTTACATAAATAAGTAAGCCAGGGTTAACAGATTTTTTCTGTAAAGGGCCAGAATAGGTAAATAGTTTAGCAATACACATCACAAGGTCATTGTTACACTATTCAACTCTGCTGTTGTAGCAAAAAGTAGCCACAGACAATAACCAGATGGATGACTATAACTGTGTTCAATAAAACTTTATAGATACTGATATTTGAATTTTGTATATTCATATACTTCATATTCTTCTTTTTACATGTTTTTCAACCTCAAAAAATGTAAGACTCATTTTTAGCTTGAGGACATACAAAAGCAGTGACAGGCTAGGTTAGCCTGTTATGCAATCAACTATGTCTTTTTATATTTCCTTTGAAGATTTTAAGACAGATTTATATGCATAATTAGAAGTCTCAAATGTCTTCCTATTTGTAAAAAGAAATGCTTTTTTTTCTAGCTTTCTGTAACTTCCCTCTTTCTCTAGGTTGTAGGTCATTGTATTGATTTCATGAATGTAAGAACCTTTTTTCCTGTAAAGGCATCATTTTATTAAACAAGTTCAGGCAACAAACATGGCTAAGAGAGCTTACCAAGTTAATCTGCACGGTTTTTTCCCAGTTTTTCTCATTATTCACTCCAGCGTTATTGACCAAAATGTCCAATCTTCCAAAGTGGTCTACAACTTTTCTAAAAGTATCTAATTAAAGAACAGAAGACGTTATATAGATATGTTTTTGTTTTCCACATCTACATTTCAATCCTACCCTGTGCCCCGAAATCGATTTTCATTTATCCACGCTTACAACGAAAATTACACCCTTAGACTGTGACTTAATTCCTTGCTTGTCAAAGAGTGGTTTGTGAGCCAGCAGCAACAATCAGCATTACATGGGAACTTGTTAGAAATGCCTGATCTGTGGCCACCATATACCTATTGACTCAGAATCTTAACTTCAATAAGGTCTGTAGATGACCTGTATGCACACTGAAGTTCTTAATTCAATGGAGTGAATTTTAGACAACAGAGCATCCCAAGCTATGAGCTCTTACAAATCCAAAGGGTGCTTACAAAGGATGCTATGACAAGCATCCTTTTCCAATAGGCTGCATTATCTTTCTAGAGTGAATTATTAAACACAGGTCTTCTTGTGTATTCAGGTCCATTATGGCCATTTCAGGGAGTTTTGATATCCCAGGAAGTAAAAGTGTACACTTCATTCAATTGATCTAGATACTGTAACTTCAATATTTACTATTTATTCTTTTCCCTTTCTCACTATTATTGCTACTTTGTATTACTAGTTTGTATAAAAGCTACATTCAACCAGGGTAAAGTCTACACAGATTCTGAGGCCTGAGAGTCATTCATGGCATTGTCCGACCACATATCCAGTCCTTGCAAACCCTCCTTAGCCAGGCTGCACTTGGCTTTATCATCTTTGTATTAAGACACACATTATTTCTCAAAGCAGTGTTTGGCATAGTTCTATAGATTTAAACTGTTTCCTTAGGCCCTTTACCAGGTTCTATTACTTGAGGCTATAGATAACAATTGTGGCTGTTCTTCCATATGACAGAAATGTATTTCTCATCCTGAGGTTAGTACATGAGTTCCTTGAAAAAAGTACACCCATACAAGCTTTATTTTGATTGAAATGAAATCTACAATTATTAACAACCACCAGACATCCTGGAGAGGGCATGGATTCACCAGTTCCCAAGTGGATAAATTACTATGCAAGCCAATTGCCAAAAATATCACAAAGGCCACTATACAGAGTACCTTACCATACTGGAATAGAACACAACAAAATAAAAGCAGTTTACTTTTTCGTGGAATTTTTAAACTGCTTAAAATCCCAAGCTGATTCTAGAAAAGGTCCTCCAGCAGAAAACATCTAAGGAATATCTGTCTCTCTTCTACTCTTCAAAACCTCACATTCATCCTATAGGAAATTAGGTGGTTAAGTATGTAAGTCTAATTGCTTCTTTAATTTTTCTTCCCTCACTCTGGTCTCTACTGGATCCCTTATAATCTGCCCTTATCAGGATATAACACGCCATCTTCTTTCTGATCTATCATTGAATTTGGGGCTCAAGTGCCTTATAATTAAGCTCTTCTTAACATTTATAAGCTGAGGCACTCTTTGTAATTTACCTTAACTCTCCATATTCTATTTTTTTCATTTGTAAAATGAATTACGTCTAGATCATCTCTAAGACACTTTTCACCTCTCTGTTTTTATGACTTTAATGAAGTCTCCCCTGTCCACAGCTTAAACAGTTTCAGAAGCGTAGACAGAATTAAATCCTGAAATTGGAAGAGTCGAGGCCATGTCTTCCTTAAATGTAAATAAATGCTGATGTCCAGACAACGTGTGGCTTTCTCAAGACCAACAGGCTTTCTCCTGGTCACTCCCGTATCTGAATGTCTTCCTCCACAATCACTTATCCTTAAGGAATGTGTTTACAGCCAAGATACTAATTTTAAATACTGGGAGGCAAAACAATTAAGGTTAAATGTCACATGTGAAATGACATAAATTCAGGCAGAAATAGCTTTCAGATGATCTATACTGTTTCCTATCTCATCAGCATGGATGTTGGGATTTGGCACGACTTTACCCTTGATCCAAAATCTCATGCACAATCAACAAAACTCTACCCTCTGGCAAAATATGTTCCAATAGCACTGTGTTCATGGATTGCTTCTACTCAAGCTTGTAAGTCATGTTATAGGTCTTTATTAGCATTTTCAGATTTAATTACATAATCTCCTAGAAAATAATTTCCTTTAACTATAGGGGAATACCCTCTAAGGTACCACTCCATCTTCACCCTTCTACAAAACAGCTCAACACTTTCAAAGAAATTCACATATCCAGTGTTCTTCAAGAACAGGAGTGCTAGCATGACTTTTATGGAAAATTTCTGGCCCCTTCATTATAGATGTGCCCAAACATTTACTCAGTCTTCCAATAAAACTTTGTGAAATACATATATTTTATTTTTCTGCTTTTTCCAGAAAAAAAAATGTATTTTTTCCATGCAAATCTACCAGATTTCCATATGACCAAATCTGTTTATTGTCCATGCAATACTGTCCTTGGTCTCTCACAAGTAGATTGGTCTATTTTAAGGGAGCAGATCGGAAACAGGAAAGCATTGAGGAAAGTCTGATAGAAACTTCTTCTGTGATTCTAACACTGCGGTACAGCTATTATTATTTTTAAAGTACCATTTCATAGGGGAAAACCCAGAGAGAACATTTGGTTGAGTGCATGTAGCACGTCTGCGATGTTGATCCTTGATCCTGCCTTCTAGTAGGTTTAAAAGGAAACATTGCCACATTTGGTTGTCATTGAACTCTGCATCTTCCAGCATTCTGGAAGAAGTTGTTTGCCACAGTCCCTTAGTCTACTTCAGCTTTCCAAGCTCCATCTGCAATGTCAATCATTTAATAATTACTGTAGCAGCACCGTCTTTGAATACACAAAGGGACTTTGATTACATTATGTGCTGCCAAAAATAGAAAATAAAATAAAAGATGTCTCAAACAGTCTTGGTTTTCCCCCTCTTAGTTGTTATGGCTGTTGAGATGTCAGCAGGAAAGCTAACAGTCCAAGCTATCTTTCGGGGCTTATTAAATAGCTGCTCTCCAGGAGGTAGCCTTGGATCTGGCTGCACCCAAGCTGGCTCTCCGGCCTGGGGCGCTGCCTTCAGGTCGTTGCTTGTTCAAGGCACGCTCCGGGTTTGATGGATTGACTCCCCAGCCTCTTACCTCTCAGTTGATCCTGGTCAGCCACATCGCACTGGATGAATAGAGTCTTCTGCGGTTCAAACTGCTCATCCAAGGCAGCTTTACACTTTACACCTGCTTCAAGATTCCAGTCGACCAGCGCTACCTATAAAGAGCAGAGGAACCGAGGTTCTGCGCAGCTCGTGAAACAGACAGACAGACGGAACAGTAAATAAACACCAGGACGCTCCCCTTCTTGGACTTAGACTCTGCAGTTAAAATTCGGGGTCTCTCGCAACCGCTTGCGAGGTCTGATCTAGACCGTCAGCCCCCGCAGCGTTGGAAAGTGGCAAGGTGGGCAGCCTGGGGCGCAGCACCCCCACCCCCCACCCCCGAGCTCGCCGAGAGTCCTCCGACCGGTGGGCGAGTCTCGGGGAGGGAAGACAAGTTTCCCGGGGCCCGGCGCCAACGCTTACCTTGGCGCCCTTGTGCAGGAGCGCCTCCGCAAAGGCTCTGCCGATGCCCTGCGCCGCGCCGGTCACCAGCGCCACTTTGCCGTTCACGTGCATGATGCGGCCGCTGCTCCGGGCGGTGGGCGAGCTCGGCGTCTCCGCGCGGCCGCAGCTTTTAAGGCCCCCTGCGCGCGCGCGTGCAGCCCGGGGAGCGTTCTCCTGCGAGTGGGCGGGGATGAAACTGTCAAGCCCGCGCCGGGGAGCCCACGGCTGTGTCACCTGGCGCTGAGCGCTCCGGGGCGCCAAGCTTCGCGATCTTTGCCTTGCTGACTCGCCGCCCAGGTCACAGCCTCCCCTCGGCCTCTGGCTGGGCGGCTGGCAGGGCGCCGTCAGAAAAACCAGAGAAGTTATTTCTAGAACAGATAGAAATAACTATCTGCGCTAAAGACCACCCGGATAAACGGAGAGAGGAGGAGGGGCTTGGGAGCCTGGTGTCCTCCTCCAACCCTCGGGTCCTCCAGTCTCTGCGCCACCCACCCCCCAATCAAAAACAAAAGCAAGCAAACAAAAGCGAAATTTTAGGGGTGTTGCTCTTTGTCTCAAGCCAAGTTTATGCCTGAATTCGCATCTCATGGCTATTGGGGAGAGGATGGGGGAGGGGTGCAGAGGTAACTAGCACCATTGTTTGTTTTTTTTTTTAAACTTCGTGGTGTGTTTGAGTCTTGTATGAATATTAGAGATACTTGAACTGTGTTCTGACCGAAACCCCTGAATCATATCACTTCAAGGCTGGGACGTTAAGATTTGGCACTTCTGTTTCAGATCACTGTCAACTGTGTGTTATCTGTGGAGAGGGCTCCACATGAATGGTAATCATTTATTTGCCCAGGACTTCCAGAGTCGCTCTTAGCCTGGTGAACTTCGGTTCAATGGAATGCTTACTCGTTGAATCATACTAGCTGTGGAGGTTCTGAGTTGCAAGTATGGGACAGCAAAGTTTTTCTGTCTTCCAGGAGCTGAGTACAAGCTGTGTATCCAAGATGGATTCAGCCATGGCTAATCTTCTGACCTATCCCCTTCCCCCCTCCACCCCCGCATCACCTGCAGTCTTCAATTTTATTTACAATTTTTTAATGCTTATTTTTGAGAGAGAAAGAGCATAAGTGGGGGAGGGGCAGGGAGAAAGGGGGACACAGAATACAAAGCAGGCTCCAGGCTCTGAGCTGTCAGCACAGACCCCACCGCAGGCTCAAACTCACAAACTGGGAGATCATGACCTGAGCTGAAGTTGGACACTTAATGACTGGGCCACCCAGACGTCCCTTCAATTTTAATTCTGTGAGCATAATACCTGTTTGGCATTTATTTTTATGAACAAAGAAATCTAAGTGCTTGGGGAGATGAAGGTCAGGCAAAAGATTTAAACTAAGAGCAGAATGAATCCTTGGTGTACTTTGCTGTAACAGGAGATATGGGGGAAGGTGACTGGGTCAGCAGTGAAGGTGTTTAGGGAGGCTGGAGAGGCTGTGTGAAATACATGTCAGTAAGCCATGGAAGAAAGACTTCCGAGTTGATTTGAAATTGGACCTCCAAGGGGTGCCCGGGTGGCTCAGTCGGTTAAGCGACTGACTTCAGCTCAGGTCATGATCTTGCGTCGGTGGATTCAAGCCCCACATCGTGCTCTGTGCTGACAGCTCAGAGCCTGGAGCCTGTTTCAGATTTTGTGTCTCTGGCTCTCTCTGCCTCTCCCCAGCTCATGCTCTGTCTCTCTCTGTCTCAAAAATAAACGTTAAAAATTTGTTTTTAAATTGAAATTGGACCTTCAAAACATATTGAGAAATTAAAACAGAGAGAGATTTATATTCCATCACGATAATTAAAATAGTCATAATGTGAAGAATAAGTTGAGGGATCATATTGAAAGAGAACAACAGAGGACAAAAAGAAAAGGAAATAAATAAAAACCTCTAGTGGCATGCACAGAGCATAGAAGAAGAAAAAGAACAAGTTCTTCAACAGGAAAGAACTAACAAAAGAAATAGAGAAGGAAACACGACAGTGACATTTCACCCTGTTGGGAGGGTCACGTGTTGCAACACATTTGGGGGAAAATAGCTTCAAGAAGAAAGGAGCAGTTAATTATACGAAGTACCCTAAGAGCACAAGGAAAAGAAGAATGGAGAGATACTTTGAATTTTTCAAGACAATAATTAGCCTGAGTAAATTTACAAGGCACAGACACCAAACGGCTGAGATTTAAGGAGAGAACGACTGGCAAGAAGATAAGTATTGCAGGGGTTCAAGGCATTGCATGGAAAGAAAGAGATTGGACAGTAGTTGGAAAGATTAGAGGGAAAATAAGTTTGTCCTTTAAGGAAGGACAGGAGGACTGATCCAGCTTATGAGGCCACTCGTCCATGAGAGTGAGAGGAACCGGAAGCAGTCTGGAGGTGGGTGGGTGAGGTATGAGAGCGTCAGCTTTGGATTCAGACAAAATGGGTTTGGATCTTGCCTCTGCTTCTGACCAGTGGGGTGACCTCGGTCAAGTTCCTTCAATTCTCTATGCCTCAGACTTTTTCTTAGTAAAGTAGCAGTTCCTATAAGACTTTGGTGAAAATGAAATTAGGTAATACATATAAAGCACTATTCCAATGCCTGGTACAAAGTGATACAATTTACTTCTGGATTATTAATGAATAATACATGAGAGATAGAAAAATGCTAGAAACCATTTTTTGTTTGTTTGAGTTATTTGTTGTTTGTTTGTAGTACATAGGAAGGTCTGGGATCTAGGGCAAAGTTAGCACCTGTAAATTCCTTTCTTCTCAGTTTCCATTGTCATTGTCTTTGTTCAGTGATGACAGACTTTCTTTTACTTTCTCCTGTGCTCACAATAGCCATTAACATCCTGAATTACTTTGCCCACAAATTTCTTAAATCCAATTCAGTTTCCACACTCTTCCCAATATAAATTCTAAAATATAGATCTAGTCATGTTTATACATTCTCACTTTTAAAATCCTTAAAATGTACAAACTCTAGGACACTGCATAGGAGGTGGGCATTCCATGCCCCGTATCTTTCTTGGAGCCCCTCTTTGCAGTCTAGGAAGCAAAATCAGTTCAAACCTACACCACTCTCCAAGCCCCAGGCCTTTCCCATCCTCTGTCTGCTCCCCTGAGGATACTTCCCACTCACTTTCTTTACTCATCTTCCAATTAATCTATGAACACTCTACAGTGGAAACACTGATCATATCATTCTAATGATCTTACTATGTGTGTCCAGCTCAGGGCCCTTTTCTCTGGATGTTTCCAGCATACAGCACAGAGCCACTCAAAGTGTGTGCTTGTACATATTGAATGAAGAAAAGTACTGATAAATATGACAGATGTATTTGAGAGAAGATGGAAAATTTGAACTAGATGGTGAGATTTCCTGCATATAATGATTATGCCTTTATATAACATAAAAGTAAGAATGGAAAAAAGTATGCTGGTATGGTATTTTTTTGAAGTAGAATGTTTTGAAATCTTATATTTTATATTAAATGTATATTTTGACTTAAAACTATCTACAGGAGCGGTGCCCAGGTGGCTCAGTTGGTTAAGTGTTTAACTCTTGATTTCAGCTCAGTTCATGATCTCATGGTTTGTGAGTTCAAGCCCTGCATCGGACTCTGCACTGACATGCGGAGCCTGCTTGGGATTCTTTCTCTCTACCTTTCTCTCTGGCCTTCTCTCTCTCTCTTTCTCAAAATAAACAAATAAACTTTTAAAAATGTATCTACAGGACATTATATATAGTATATCCTCAAACCAAAAAAGGGTTCTTTTTACCCAGTAAGCACATCCCCTGTGGTTTCTGATATATATTTCTCAGCTTCTGTGTCGATAGCATTATTTAGTTTCATGTACATTAGCTATACAATTTTATCATCAATGTAGTTCATATAATTAAAAAAATAATTCCTAGGTAAAACTAAGTTAAATCTGAAACAAACCATCACATAATCTTGTGAAGCATTCTGATTGATAGGTTATATTTTGGTTAGTAATTTTGAACAAAGTTCTATTTAAATGAAAATAGATAAAATGCAAAGTTCAAAAACAGTCCAATTGAAAGGGACAACTTTTCTCACTGCTACCTACTAGCTTTATGACCTTGAACAAGTTACTTTGCTCTCTGAATCTCAACTTCTTCATCAGTTAAATGAGGATGAAATAATATCTATTTCATAAAGTTGTTGTAAAGACTAAATTGAGTTAAATAAACTCAGGTAAAGTGCTCAGACCAGTGACTGCCACATAGAAAATGCTGTGAAAATGTCTTTTTCTCTAAGTTTCTTCATATATGATGAAACGGTGAGGTAGTTATTATTGTGGCCATTTTACAGATGAGAAAAACGGAATTAAGGACATTAGGAAATTTGGCCAACAGCATTTACCTAAAAAATTGAATGAGGTGGTTTTGAGTCAAGGTATGGGACTGAGTGGTACCTTTTTGTTTCTTAATTAAACTTTTTATTTCGAGATGATCGTAGCAGAGCAGTACTTTCACCGTGATTGAATAGTGATTTCTTTAAGAAGCACAAGTTAAAAATAGATTTAAATTCAAATCAGAATTCCTAATCAAATATATATTTTCATACACACACTGATCTTTGTTGGCTCAGTTCTGACCTGTTACAAGAAGCTAGTCTTAATGTGGTTTTCCTACATCCCGTGCCCGGGGTGAACCCTGGCATCCCGAGATACAACTAGTCACAGCCCCAGCTTAAAGATGGAGGAAGTCAGTCACCTGATACGTATCATTTATTTAATTTTTAAATGATCACATATAAATCAGTATAGAAGTAGATTTTTTTCTTTATTAAAACCAAAAAGCGCTGCTGAAATAAGGCAGTTTCTGCCAAGATTGTGGGCAAGGATTCTCGTTTGGGCCTCACCTGCATGAGCCAGAAGAGAGGAGCTGATCTTTGAATATATACTATGTTCTTGTTCTTTTGTGTGTCCTCTCATTTCACCCTTTTGCCAAACCTACGAGATAAGTGTTATTTACATCATTTTATAGATGAAGAGATTGGGATTTGTGGAGGATGAGTGACCTGTCCCAAAGTCAGACTCTGACATTTAGCAGCAAACCTGGGTTCACACCCAGGCCATGTAGCTCCAAAGCCTTTGTTCTTTCTACGACTCTGCTGTCTTAGACAGGTGTACATTCCAATGTGGTCTTTGTCTCTGCTAATCGTACAATCTAGGGCTGATTGCACAACCTCTATAGTCCTGTTTCCTGAGCTGTGCAGTGGACAATAGGTTCACCCACTGTGGAGTGCCTAGTATGGTGCCTGGCACAT